CATCCCATTTTTGTACCAAAGATGCCAGGCCGATAATCCATATCCGAATTGAACCATTTCGCTGAAGTAGAATATTATTAGCCGTCTCTACGAAGACCTATTAATGTGTAAGAATAAGCTGTATTTGTGACGTAAATTAAATTGAATCAACTTATTGGGTGGGCAAAGAGCCAGAACCGTAAATCATCGTTCCTGTAACAAATCGTATATCACTGGCGGTGGCACAGGTGGGGGCAGAGGAGACGGTCGCCCCCTACGAAAAAAAATGTTTAGGGGGCGTCGACCCGTCTAAAATCAAGCTGAAACCCTTTGTGTCAGTAAAATCTACCCCTTAATTTGCAGGACATTTTTTAAGGGGGAACGCCCGTGGGCCCCCTAGTAAGGTCGCGCCTTTGGTGTGAGCGATGATGACCAGATCGCGCCCCTCCATGCAAAATGTCGTGCCGCCACCTCTGTATATGCCGATATGGGTTTACTGACAAAAACTCGAGACTATGCGTTTGATTTCCCGTGGACACGCGTCACAACACTATGATTATGTGTGACATTTACCAGGAAACCGCACTAGAGCACCCAACGTTGTGTTGGAGAGTAATAAAAAACACTATTATTGATGTTAAACAAGTATTGTTTTACAATTTATTTTACTACGATACACCGAATGTCCAATCAAACGTTTTTGTTGTATTTATGTAATAATTAAACATAGTGTTGTATTTAACACTGTTTACAATATACCGAATATTTGTATTACATAAATACTTCATGGTTTACATTTATTAAAACAATTATTTTATAATTGTGAATGGTAAAATTTAATTGATTTACAAAATAGTTGTTACTACAGTGTAAGAGGCCCAATATTAGGCTAAGTAACTGTTAACGTCACAAGCTATACAAATACTAATTAGTTAGTTGCATTGTGTAGGTAAAGTTTCAGCAAATATATTAGTATGAGCGGTCAAAATACAACGATGTCACTAACCTGCAACGATAAATCGTAGGGACACTTATGAATGATGTGTGCTTTAGACCCGTAATGTGTTTTTTTCACGCCTTCATTTCCAAATGATAAATGATAAATAAAGAAATAAAAATAAATGTACAATGACTTGAGAGCAAATACTTACTAGAAATGAATAATTTTCCTACATTTGTTTTTTCAGTTGTCAGTGTAAAAACAGATGATTGAATACAATCAGTGTATAGTTAGTCGTACGATTGGGGAAAACAGTTACTAAGCAAAGCCATACTTCACTGACCTTTTTTGACGGGAACTATTTGTTATTAGTATCCAGGTAATACTCGAAAACTAATACATAGTTTACACTAGTAGTACAATACACAAGTACATATTCAGTACTAGTAACATTGCAAATTCAATTACTCAGTGGCATCAAAAGTAAGGCGAGTGTCCTATTTCGAAACGTCACGTCTCAAAGCAAGGCTCCGTGGGAGCGTGTTTGTTTTTACTTTTAAAAACCCATTACAAAACAAGTGAAACAAAATTTTTGTCGATACTATAATGTTCAAACAAATTAAAGTCCATAGCATATGGTACTGTGAAGTACAAATTAAATGTTATACTAGTAGTTATCACCACAACCAGCAACGCTTCAATTATGAAGCGCCACCATGCGATATACAGAAGGTAACAGAACAATTATCTAGTTTATAGATTAAATAAGGTCAACTTTGGTGGCGTTTACCATACTCAAAACATAATTAACATAATACACGCGATTAAAATGTATATATATATAAATACAAATGTTTTCTATCACCAAAATGAAAGCACTTCCTAAATGAATAACTGGCATAACCATTCTAACTACAACATTTGAATACGTATTTTTTTCTAAAGTACATAAATCACCAGTAAAACGTTACATTTATTTTATTGTAGATCGAGTGTTCTGTGGAAACAAAAATAAACTACTGAGCAGAGATGCAGAATTGTAAAAATGTAATCAGTCAACATACAGTAGACCATCATCCAATTAGTAAGACTGTCGAGTTAAGTAGATGTACATGTTATTTATAAAATGCAGATCATGGGTATATGTATTTTATTTGGACTTCGGTCTAAATAATCTGAAATGTTCATTATGTGCTCAAATGAGAAGTTGTTACCAGCTCAGAAGTAACAACATACGATTAAAACTTTATATAGTTTACTAAGAAAAAATCATTTGATACGAACAAATCGGCGTTGCTGAAAAATCGTTGGTATTATCTATCTCGTACTTTTTGAATAATTGTTAAAAGTCATAGTTCCATAGTTGACACACAAACGTTTAGATGTTTAACCTATGTACCCTATGGGTAGAGTTGATTAGATTGAAAAGATAACCACAGCAATTAAAAGTATCAACTTCTCACACTCGTACAAAGTACCTGTCGCAAACACAAATGAATAATACTACTTCTAAAATACAACACTTTTTTGTCTAAAAGAGGTCATGCAGACGAGTTATTAGGGCCTGTTAGAATGTTAGAAGTATACTGTCTTGATTATATCCTCAGCTGTTCGTATACATGTGGAATAACCGACACCTAGAAAAATAATCAGAGGTGAATATGTTTTATATTCATGAATAAGATGTTGCACGTTTGCGTACAGATTGAGGAAAACCCATCTAATTGCGTGATGAAGTTATAATTAAAATATAGGCATGTTACAACGAGATATCATAATACTTTCTAAATACCCTATCATCATCCATGGCTTGGAAATACTCTGTCAACTGTTGAAAAGATGGTCTTCTTTCTGGATTTTCAACCCAACAATCCTCCATTTTGGAATATCTTCGTCAGATGGAAATTTACAGAAATGTAATTAACAATTGATGACAACACATAGAACGGTACTCAATTATAATAATGCGAATGTCTGACAAAAATATTTCAACTAACAGTGCATTTACTAATTTAATTTAATTTAATTTAATTTATTTTAAGTTAATTACTCACATGTCTAGGCGACATTTATCTGGTCTTTTCATGCGATATCCTTCCAGCACAAACTCGATAACTTCCTGTGTTGACATATCGGTATATGGTACATCACCTATAATACACCCATATATACACGTGAACATGAGTTAACAAATTTTAACAAGAGCAATAAATAGTATTGCTAGATAGTCCAAGGTGAAACATTTGGCAAGTGAAAAATGATAATAAGAAAGTAGTACACACATTAACCGAGAAGTTTATTGATTTATTTTATAAAAAAACAAATCACCACTTTTCTGGCGCACAGAACATTATGAACTTGTTGCCAACATTATTCTATTTATATTCATATATAGGTTATCGCGTGTGTTCTTAATTCCGATGCTTACCCAGTGTTGCAATTTCCAACAAAACGACACCATATGACCACACATCACTCTTAGTGGAATAAATGCCATATAATATAGACTCTGGCACCATCCAGCGTACAGGTAAGCGTCCCTAAAAACAGCATTGAAGTGATCCTGTTTATCCCAATGGCCAACGTTAATATGTTTATTTTCGACAATTTTATTTT